TAGATTACAGAATATAACGACGTACGTTACGAGAAGTAACACGTTGCATTTATCTTACGAAAAACAGCACGTTTATCTTCGTCGGCACGAAAATAATACGAATCGTTTTTCGCCGCGAAAACTAGCATATTTGAATGGCTACGAAAATAACATGTTTTGTCTTTCACCGTGAGAACTAACATGTTCCAGTGATTTGTACGAAAATTAGTTGGTATGTACCGTTTGTAGTGGCGGAAAGGTGCACATTTTAATGGTTTGCCGTAGAAAATCAGAATAATGGTTTGCTAAGAAAAGCATGTTTTATGCTTTGCTGCTAAAAGTAACAGATTTGTTTAATAAATAACGTATACTTTATTAACCCTTATTTGGTCCAAATATACATGTAAATTCTTGATAACGACTTTAAGAATATTTCATATATCTACAATTACTTCTTTGATTTTATTATATAATAAAAATTGCAATTAATAAAATTACAAATTATAATAATAAAATATAATAAAGCACAATACCAATATTTTATGTAACTAAATTATTATTCTATAAATGAAAAGATTTGAAAATTTGGCGAAAGCAAAGAAATATTTGAATAATTTTATTATCCAATGAGATAATTTAATTATATCAGAGTCCATCAGATTTTGCGAGCTATATTGTAAGATATCTAGAGCATTTTATTTTTAAATGACGTTAATTCCGTAGAATCTTTACTAAATTACGAGAAATGAGTACAATATAATTAAATGAATTATTAATGCACGTTTAACCCCTTAACGCACAGTTTTTTTTGAAAAAATCGGACAGAAAAGTCAATTTTTATATACTGCGCTTTTGTTCCATGGAAAAAGGCTATATTTTATTGTTGAATAAATAAGTGTTATAGCTTACAATCCCATGTAAATGATAAATATCAATAAAACGATTTTTTTTCTTTGCTTTCACATTGTTATTTTTAGTTTAGCCTGTTTAGCGTGCTCGAATTAACTCGAGCGTGCAAGTTAAGGGGTTAAATTGTAATTTTGGCGAAAATTAAATTATACTCGTAAATTGTAATATGTTTAAAATGTTTTAAAATGTTTTAAGCAAGTTAAGGTGTTAATAGCTGTATCAAGTTGACTTACTATAAGAATATTAATAAAGTTAAAAATGTATTGTGTATCAATACTGTTTTATTCGAACCACGAAAAAGTCTTAAACTTTCATTTACAAAAAATCAATTACACGTCGCAAGTGCGTCAATACATTTTTTGTAGAAATTCACACGATAGAATTTATTAGAGAATAGAAAATTTGCTCTATAATTTTTCCTCTATTTTCAATAGTGACAGAATTGTATTGTCCTAGTCACTAGTTTCACTATATATGCACGGAAAGAATGTATGATACATACTAGCAATAAATAAAAATAACTCTACAATAGCCGAGTGAGGGTTAAACAATAGCTTCATAGTTTTCGTAGGAAAATCAAAAATACGGGAATGTACGATATGTATACAGTCGTGAATAATAGATCGGTAGCTTTTTTTTCTCCCATGACTTTGTGTGGAAATTTATAAAAAATATAGCATTTGAATTTCAAAATATACATATAGAGAAACATCTGTAAATTGTAGAAGAAGATGAGCAAATTAGAGAAATATAGATTATAAAAACAGATATGTAAATTATACATATACAGGATGGCTCGCCACATTTTGTCATCTAGATTTGCGTCCTTATTTTTGCGTCCTTTGCGTGCATATTTTTTTTGTAGGCGGACGTGTAAAGGACATATGAAAATCATTAATGTTTTTTTAAATGGAATCATATATTTTTTATTGCATCAGCTGATACTCCTTCATATTCTTTACAAAAAGGTATTAATCTATTTACATAAAAAAATCATTAGTTTAGGAGATATTTTAATTTCAATGTCTATTTACAGAAAAGGTTCAATGTGGCGACCATCTTTCTGCATGTATAACACTTTTCCCAGCTTCAAAATAAACTGATAACATGTCTATCTTTCCTTCTTTAGAATACTTGTTAGGAAATCGTGACTTTCTGGTCAATATTATGAATTGCCCTAACTGAACAGCAAATGTTTTTCTACATGCTTTGAGAAGTCACGTGTCATCAAACAAATTGTGAGTTTTTGTTTTCTTTTGTTACGCAGTAATAGTGAAATTTAGTTTCTGTTACGTCTCTAGTACGGTGAATGTATCGATACGGTGAATTATCACTTCATAATGAAGTATTCTAAAGAAGAAAAGATAGAGATGTTATCAGTTTATTTTGAAGCTGGGAAAAGTGCTACACATGCAAAAAGATTATACACTATGGAATGTTAGACAGTCATTAATTTCTCGATTCAGAAAGTGCTCTGATGCAAGTGGTCTCCCTTTTCTGTAAATAGACATTAATATTAAAATATCTCCTAAACTAATGATTTTTTCACATAAATAGATTAATACTTTTTTGTAAAGAATATGAAGGAGTATCAGCTGATGCAATAAAAAATATATGATTCCATTTAAAAAAACATTAATGACCTTCATATGTCCTTTACACATCCGCCTACAAAAAAACATATACCACCAGCATATGCCCCCCTCAAAACCATTCAACTTTATCTAAAACATTGTTTGCTATGAGTAATAATAATGACGCAAATCTTGATGGCAAAATGTGGTGAGCCACCCTGTATAAATCATACAGAAGTAAGATATACAAATTACGAAGTGAGCGTTTCTTTCATTCCAGAAATCATAAAACACCAAGTTAATATAAAAATTTGTCGAATTAAAAATACCTCTTAATTTTCTGAAGCAATTAAAATTAATTTTAGCAATTTTTTAAAGACAATTTATAAAAGTAAAATTATGAGAATATAGAATGTACCATTTGAAAGGAAGTTGGCTTTGGTAATAGCTTTAAAATGATTAACATTCTTTTAAAACGGTTGTATTTTGATAACTTTATCAAGGAAAGAGATATTTGCACATGAAGTCGCCGGTGAAAAAGTTGTTAATCAATTATACACGATTGTATGCGTATACGAAAAGCATAAAAGGAAAGGAAGAAATAGGATTTGAAGATTATAAAGCATTCAGGGAATGAATACGGAATTTCAAAAGACTGCGTTGCATCGTATTTCGTAAAATAAATAAACTTATTAGTCATTCAGCTGGAACAGACATCGCAGATCTGAAACAAAGTGCCATTTATAAATGGACTTAAATCTATAATCGCGGATTATGGATTGCACAAGATTTTGCGCGAACGAGTGGTTTTTATATTGAATTGCATTCCGTACGTGTCTATGTGTTTATGCTAGTCGTTGAAGACACGAAGGTAATGAAAGATATTGTTCAATGTACATGATGTTTTCGAAATGGTGAAACATCGGCGAAAAAGTAATATCATAACCTTAAATTAGTTATTGTTCTCTCTCGATTAATCACTGTGTAGCAGAGAGATCGTGACATTTTAATTCTCTGTATATGTTTAATAATGTAGACTTTTTCAGTGAAGATTTAATAAATTAATTGTTTTTTTTTTTAATATTAATAATGATATTGAATAGTATGTATATACAAAACTTTATAATATAGAATTATTTAAACGATAAAAATATATTTATTTATATCTAATTCTGTTTAATTATGTAGTGCTTTACGATTCAGGGATCAATTTATATACATATAAGATTGGAAGTTACATAACATTTCCTATTTGTATATATACACATTATCAAGGTTTCAATTATTTTGTCTTATTTGGATGTTTCAAAATAACACTTAATTGTACGTCATATTGCACATTTTCCCTTAAAGATGCATACAAATTGCTATTTATTCTGCCAAATTTTATAAACATTTGGCTCATTGAAATATATTTTGTCACAATAAAAAAGCATTATATTCTACTTTCTACTTTTTCAGGAAAAATGTCAATCACCATATGAGTCCACATTTGCATATGTTATCCTAGTTTCGTATGTCCATTAACATACGAATCTCATTTAAACGCTTGCGTTGGAAAGACGTATTGTACAAGTTGCTTATTATCTAAAGCAGCAATGACGTGCCACGCACGTCTACTGAATTTACTGTTTATAATAACCAAGTAGACTTTCACAAGGTAAACAAAGGATACAGTAAAGATGCAAAGTATGTGCGAAACATAATAAACGCAGTGAAAGTGTCTGAGAATGTAAGAAATACATATTTTTGCTTATTCCTCCTTGTTTATTCTGTTTATTTTGCTTATTTCTACAATTGTATGCATTTTTACACGCAATCTGCTTAAACTTTAATAGAAGTAGTTATAAGTAAAAGGTCGCTTTGTACGAGTTAGTTACGGGCTACTACAATTAATTTTCAGCACCAAAGGATAATTTTATGTTTCAACGTTAGTCTTGAAAAGAAAATACCTCTATTTTCGGAAGCTTTCAAAACCATATTAAACGTAGTTAGACTCTGTACCTCTGATAAATGCAATTATCGAGTATCATAAAGAAAGGAGTAAAATAAATCCACCTCACAATCATTTAACATTCTTACAAATTAGTTCGAACGTACAGCAGAAAATAATGTTCGCTCATACGTTTGTTCTCCATCGTACAAATGTTCTATTCCTTGAAAGTTCGCCCCTCGCGCCATTAATAATGTTTCCCATAAAACAGTCCTTACCGCCATGCCGTTTATGGGTTCTACTAGAATTCATGCAGTACATCGAACTAACATTAGTTCACTTTTGGTGGTTTGCAGCAAGTTCGTCCGTTGGATTAACGATTCCGCGGAATTCTTCCCGGTGCGGAAGCCACGTAAACTTTTATCTTTACATGCAAGAAAGTTTAGCACCGCACGTGGCGCGGTTACAGAAAAAGCTACCGGAAACTCGTGCATCTAATATATCTATATAGTCGCTAATGCAAAACCCATAATTATCGCGGCAGAGTGGAGCGTAAAGTGATGTTCCATTAACCTGAAACGGTCCCTACCGAATTTCTATTTCAGACTGGAACTCTGCGCTATTTATCATTCTGAACGGTACCAAGGAGGAACACTTGAACATGCTGGACGGTGGTATTATTCAGCGATTACTCGAGGAAAAATGGAAGACCTTTGCGCGGGTAAGTGCGTCCACGTGACGATATCCTTCCTCAGTTTCTTTGCGGGCATTTTTCATTGCTTCGGTTCGAAATGCGCCTTTCCACGCTTCGGGATGCTACAATGCTCATTAATCCTTCAGCCATCAACAATTTTTCTCTTATCAAATAACTGTGTACCAGTTGCTCATTATTCGAATAGAAGTACTAACCTAACTACAGTTACCTAGAGATTTGTTCGATTAAATGCATGGTAATTACTTCTGTAATTATATCTGTTTTAACTCATATTTTTCTTCTGAATAGATCAGTCAAGGAAGTTTGTTAACAAAATTAACTAGCTTATTTTGTACAGTTTAAATAGATACACTTTGCTTTATGAAATTACGTATTTGATATAAATGCTTCTTGCTGCAAGTACTAAGAGATTACTGATGTGGCTTTTATCGTTCTTGTTGTGTTAACAATTTAATTAAGGTAACTATTAACTGGTAGCTAAGCTATTTAATCAACGTAATTATCGTCCGTGCACCGCACGTTCAAGTCTATTGAACATTTTTGTTTGTCAAGTGGACGTGTAATAATAATTGACGTGCCTGTCAGCTGTCCTAATTATTCCCATGAAGCTAAGAAGCGAGCATTTTGTTCGCTGCATGTGCTGATTAACGCTGCAGCATTTCAAATTAATTTCAACGATTATTGATTGACATCGAGGCGAGCTCGAGTGACTTGAAGTGATTGTCATCCGAGTGTGCTCGACGCGTGGACGATCGAGTGGCATCGACGGAGAGATTTCTACACCCGTTGAATACACGCGCGATTTATCTCTATTCAACGTTGGGTATTCAAAAGAATATCAGCAATCTCTGAATGACCTCAGAAAGATGGTCGTCGATGTCGTACGGTTGAACTGATTGCGGTCATAACGGTGCATTGAATGGGCTGTTCCACGCTTCGAAAGGGTTAACGAGCAAAAGTCCTTAAATCTTGCTGATGCAGTGTGAATTATTAGGTTATTGTATACCAAATGGTCGATTTTGATATTTGTAATGATTAAATTGAAAAGTGACTGCAATATTCGGAGCTTAATATTATGTACGATATTGCAAAACAGTTATTTATTAATAAAAAAGTTATTTATTATTTTGTTTTGAGAAAGATTATAAATAATGTTTGAAAGTTATTTCAACATATTTCACAGCTGATTGCAGTAAATTTAAAGGCTAATTATGAAACAAAATTCAAGTACGTGAAAAAATGACGATTTTCATAGGAAAATTTTAAAAAATTTCCGATTTTAAGGACACAAGTAAAAATATGTTATTTCCATAACTTGTATTATTCGGTTAACATACCTCATTCTTTATGAGGAAACCAGATTTATTAAACAAAATATATTTTTTGCTTAACAGACATAAGATGATAGGAGACGTTAGCATGTAGAAAAATTTCAAGGACATTATAGTATATGCATAAGTTTATTTTTAGATAGAATCATTTTTCTCAATGTAAACCTAATATAGTGATAAGAATGTCATAAATAATGAATGAAAATTTTGAAAATTCATAAACTGAAGAAATAAAATTGAAAATTATTGTATGTATTGCTGCTTATCCATTTCCCATACTATTAAATCTGTAAATCAATGAATTAAAAAATGTATTATTTCTATATTTCAAATTTAAAAAATTAAACTCCAATATTTCTAAATTCCCAAATTAAAAGATTCTTAAACTTCAATATTTCAAAATTTCGAAATCTACGAATACCTAAATTCTGAAATCACCAAAACCTCAAATTCTGAATATAAAAATTTCTTAGTTTATAAATTCGTAAATATAAGAAGAAAACAACAGAATGTTCCCAGAACAACAATTTAACAAGTGGTCTCTTTAAAATATTCATACTTTATTTTACTTTGTATGCAGTTTATAAATATTTATATGGAAGATTGTGTAGTCGTAATAGATGGTGGCAGATTGCTGTAAAATTTAGAAAAATGTTGCGCCGACTAAACCTTATCAGTCTCCGAGAAAATGTAAGTTATTTTTCCTCGAACCTCATATGAACAACATAAACGAAACAGACAGTGAATAAAACGCTGATAGTAAGTAAAATTTATTTTGTTACGTTTTTTCATTATTTTTTATTCAATATTTTATTTTCAGCGCAAAGGGTATAATCGGATAAGAAGGTCAAAAGTGCCTTTAGACCAAATTAGCCGATGAACATATTAGTTAATAGCCCGTTTAAAGGATTTTTGTCAAGTATCAAACCGTTACCCCTACTTGAAGGGTAGTGAAACACAATTTATAGTTTCAGCTCCTGCGTTTAAAAAATGTGAAAAAAATCAGGTGTTTGTGCAATTCACGTGTTTGTGAATTTTCCAAAATTTTTAAACGCAAAATAAATTTTTACAAAATTCTAAAAGTTTAAAAATATTTCTTTTTAATATAAATTATATAGTGACCACGTATATATTTTTATAGTAAACGCACTTTGTTATGATTATTAATTTGTAATTTTTTCAGATTTCTTGAAGTGATCGAAGATAGTTGCAAAAATCAAAAACCGATATCTAGTTATATTAATATCTTAATTTTTCACGAAACCATGTTCATATTTTTATGATTTTAATGGCTTGTTAAAATTATTGGTATACAATTTTTCAGTTTCTCCATTGAAGTATATCACATATAAAAATAATTGCAGATCAATATTTTCTAATGTTTCATTCGGAACAGTGTTACCATAGGAATGTATAGTTACTGCAACTTCGGAGCAAGTCATTATATATTCATTGATTAATTTGGTCCGAAGGCACTTTTGACCTCTTTATACAAATAGCTATGCCCTTTATTTAAAAGAACTTACATATTTGAAACTTTGCTTTTGGCACATTCAACGCACAATTTATGTCATCTAATTCCATTATTTTTTTATTTCGTTTGGTTATACTTCTGTTTACAATTTTTAAATAAGTATAAAATTTGTCACGCAGGTAATTTATTTTAATAAACGTACTTCGATTTTCAAGCATCCATATTTTAGAATGCATATTTTGTTGACAATTGAATATATGACACCAGAAAATTATAATAAGCTTTGAATTTATGAACTCTGCTTATACAATAACTATACTAATGAAATTGTTAACCGATTTTAGCAAAGGTATTTCGTTCCAGAAACACAATAATAAAACATTTAGGGTAACTTAATAAGGAAATTATTGAATCTGCCAAATGTAATTAATCTGTAATTAAGATTCCTGTGCCGTAATATTGTCTCTGGAATCATACAGCTTTTATAAAAAAAGATTCTAATACAATTTTCTACTATAAAATATAAAAATAGTTATTTCCTCTAATATTTAAATTTCTATAATATAACCGTGAGTACTTTAATTTTCAATAAATCGATTTTTCTCGTCATTTCACGTACCAGTTTAGTAGAACTTACTACAATCCTGTGTATTATGCAAGCTATTTAAAAATTTAAATCAGTGCGCAGCTTATTTCGTTATTACCGGTTGGGGATGAAACCAGGAGAGATAAAAAAGGTGTGCCTGGTTTAAAAGAAGTACGTGAACCGTGTTTTGAAACCTCTTTACTTATTAGCATTATCATTTTTTAGCTTTATCAACTTGTACATACTTATCTTTATTTTAATAGTCATTAATAAAGTAAGGTGAAGTGGGGTAAGTGCAGACTGCTTTTTGTAAAGTTGGTAGTTCAACGTAAGTATTTTCAGTCTGCGATGTAAATAATTAAGGCTGTCGATATCGAACGCTTTGTACAATTACTACTATTTAATTAATATTAACTAGGACCTTAATTTTCCTTGTACATTTTGATTTTGATAGGAAATTGTTTAAAATGTCAACTACTCTGTTGTTTAAAAATTTTCCTTGTACATTTTGATTTTGATAGGAAATTGTTTAAAATGTCAACTACTCTGCACTTTTCCCGAAAATGGGGTAAGAGCGTAACTTGAAGTTAAATACTTTGAAATTTTATTTCATGTGCAATGGGGCAAGAGCAGAATTATTAACAAATCTGCTATAAAATGCTTTTTATTGCATTTTGCAAGTACTCTATAATGCAAACAAGTACTCTTAGCTGAAATATAAAAGGGGGTATAGTGAAACAAAACAAGGAAACAAACATACTAAATGGAGAAATTTCGCTCGTATTGTAATAAAAATATACGCACATAAAAGTATACGCATTTGCGCCGTTTACGAACTTACCCCACTTCACCTTAAGCAACCTTTTGTACAATGAAAAGGACACAGATAAATTAAAGAAAAAAATATTCTAAATCCTTAGATTCTCAAATCCCCATTCTAAATAGCTACATTCCTAAATTCTTTACTTTAAATTTTTTGAATCTTCAAAAATAAGAATCAACGAATGATTATTCCCTTCTACTTTGGTCGCTATATTTTCTCTATAAAATCCAGATTTTCTACTGACTATACCTTAATAGATTGAAATATGCTCGCAGATATTTCAAGTAAATTCTCAACTCTCTGTAGGATTATCGTAACGACACGTTTCCATCCAATGGGCATCATGATTAATTGTTCTAAAACCGAGCTAATCTCTATGTACAGTATCACTGTATAATTGGTCATTTGATGCTCGTATGTGGTTTGAATGTGGCCATAATTAGCACCATAAGTGGTATACATAATGGATGATGTGTCATTATAATGTTCCGGCGTTCAGTAGATTGTCATGTAACATGGCGTCCTTACAACGCGAATCTTTATAATACGTTAAGGATATTAAAACCACAATTTTCATGTAATACAATTTTTCATACAACGTGGCAAATAATGGAACTCAGGAATTAACTGCAATTAAGAATTAAATCTGCTTTAGCTGAGCGTTACTAATGAAGCTATTCATTATTTTAACTTAAAAAAAATTATAAATAATCCTGAAAGTTATTTTAACATTTTTCACAGCTGATTTGAGTAAATTTAAACGTTGAATATGACAAAAAATAAGAAATGCGATAAAATGGGAAAAATTACAGTTTTTGCACAAAAATTCAAAATTATTTTCGATTTTAATGTAAAAAGCTGCAGTTTTAGTTGAACATTCTTGAGATATAACAGTTTCAAGGAAAAAATAGTAAAAATAAGGAGTTTCAAAAAATATATGTATTCAAATTTTTAAGATGCAAAGTGGCTAATGTTGAAGCTAGAGTGGCTGGGTATATTTTGTATTCCACTGTGATCGTCAAGGTTTATATTTCAGAGAAATAGATCATTTGGTAATATTTTAAGTGTGACATAGCCGGTTATTACTTTCAGCAAACAGTGATCGATTTCAGAACATCTAGAATGTGAAACAATTTCTTTTATATAAAACTATCGTGAAGTAGCGCATATATTACGTTAATTTAAAGTTCGACGTTTGTTGAAATATCAATAACTCAAACTTTCTGTTAATGTATTTAGTACAAAATTGTTCATCTAAATCTCGAAGTATAAGATTATTACGTAAAAAATTTACTGTACAGATTGTATAAAATAATAGACGAGACGATTTCCTAATTTTCAGTGATCTTTAACCTTCAAATTCATGTATCATGAGTATATTCCTATTCTTGCAAAGGGAAAAGTTGTTCTAAATTACGTCCTCTATAACCTCTTTCTGGACTTAACATTAGTTGTGAGATACCCTGTATATGTACATTACAACTACATATTTGTAGTACCTTTATGTCATCAAATTATGCCAGACTTAATGTTTCAAAATCGACTATTTCATGTGCAATAATCTAATCGAAACAAACTTCCTAACTCAACTTATTTTATAAAAATGAATGATACGTGTGAGGCTTTAAATTGCATAAAAACAGTATAACTGCACGTCAAACCTGAATCTTAGGTAAGAAAGACGAAACGAAAGTACTGTCCATTTTATTCTTTTTAATAGAGGGAGAATGATACGAGCTACATAGAGCTACAATACTCAATTACTGGCGCTTTCAATAAATTGATATTTTACAATGCACTGTTAGAATGTATATTATTATTTCTATAAAATTGTGCATATATTATACAGCTTAAAGTTTTCTCTTTTCAAGTAATATTGCGGGTATTGTTTTCATATAACGTGATGTTTCGTACAATACGAAAATAATAAATTTTGTTTATCTCTCTACTCGTCATTTTTTCTAGGTCAGAAGACTAGTGTCACAGGACATAGCCCCTTGATTTGTCCTATCTTCTGGACTCAGAAAATTGTCAAAGATTGGATGAAATCATAGGGTACAGTTTACAACGTTTTAGCAGTAATCGTCTCAAACCCGTTACTTTAATTTACACCTTATGAGTGACAAATTTTTGTACAACGTGATTACCTATAATGCGAATTCATATAACACTTGCTATATTAACCATGTTATACAATGTTAGATTAATTTACCAGAAATTCATGGTTTTTGTAAATACTTCAAACCTGACAACTTACCTCAACGGCCACACTTATGGCCAGTTTAAAAAAAATTGAAGGCCTATAAAAAAAATCCACTTCACTCAGATAGTCGGCCATCCCCTTAGCTTTAATTTGGTACCTTGGGCGTGCATGTAGGTGTTATGATTCTCCAGAAAAGGTACTTTATGTGAGACCATCATTTTCCCATTTACTTCAATGGAGACGCGTGCGCAGAAAAAATGAGAATGACGCCCCCCTTAACTGGTTCAAGTTTCTTTTCACAAATCATTTATAAATCATATTATTTCATTTCACCGCCTATTTGTATACGTGATTGTATTGTACTTACGTGGGATATTCTATCTTCGTTTGAAATTTCCTGAAATTCGTCTAACCAACCAACTTTTTGATGCCAAATTATAATTAAGGCCACTATTATAATAAAGCAGATAGGCGAAAAAATTGAGAACGATCTGAAGTTGGAAATTTGTCTTTTATTAACTGGAGAAAGCATTCCGCTCTTTGTCTTGAATGACGAAAAATTTCAGACTAATACACGCCTCACGGGGTGCAGCATATTATTTCCATTGTTTCGCATGAAAAACGCAGCTGACAGTATTTAAATGCGGAATTTTTTAATCAATTCTACTCGTTTACGCTCCGTTAATTTTGTATGCATGCATTTTAAAAGCCGTTCCGGTTAACGGTTCTGTTAGCCGAAAAAATCAATATGAAATTTTCAATTGTAAGTAATATATGTATAAGAGAATTTATTTGTTTAATTATATTCTTTGAGAAATTGTTCGTTTCCATTTTTTTGAAAAAAAAACCTTTTTTTTAATATGGAAAACATTAAATGAAAATTGTAAACATTCGCAAAAAGATTTTCTACGTTATGGGGTAGTATATGGTATTTGTATGGACAGTACTAGAGATCTCTTAATAGAAATTTGGAAACTTGTAAATCTATAAATTTGGTAATTTTGGGATTTAGATTTACGGAAATTTGTTAATGTGGGGATTAAAATTTCTGGAAATTTGGTAAATTAGAGATATGGATATTAAGAAAGTGGGAATTTGAAAGTTTAGGAGGTTGGAGATGTGGAGATTGGAAAATTCAAGTACCTGGGGGGATTAAGGTTTCTGGAAATTTGGTAAGTTAGGGATATGGATATTGAAGAAGGTGGGAATTTGAAAATTTAGGAGGTTGGAGATTTGGAGATTGGAAAATTCAAGTACCTGGGATACAGAAATATGCGAACACAGGGGTCTGCAAATTTAGTAATTTAGGATTCTAGGTTTCTGGAAACTTGGTAATTTGTAGATTAGGATATTGGAGAATGCGGAAATTTGATAATGTGGAGATTAAGGTTTTTAGAAATTTGGTAAATTAGGTATATGGATATTCAGGAAAGTAGGAATTTCAAAATTTGGGAGGTTGGAGATTTGGAGATTGAAAAATTCAAGTATCTGGGATACAGAAATTTGCAAACACAAAGATCTGCTGTTTTAGTAATTTAGGATTCTAGGTTTCTGGTAATTTGATAATTTGTGGATTAGAATATTGAAGAATTGGAAATTTGGAAATTGAGGTATTTGAAAATTTGGATATCCAAAAAGTCAAGAATGTAGAATGCAGAAATTTGGGAATTCCGGGAACTGGGGATTTAAATTTCTGAAAGTTTCGCAATTCAGGGTTTAGATAATGGGAAGTTCGAAACTGAGAAATTTCAAAACAGAGGAACTTGAATATCTAAAAACAGGACTTGGAGATTGGAAAATTTATGGATTAGGAGAGTAGAAATTTAAGAATTCAGAGATTTGAAGATTTAGTTTTCTGGATATTTGGTAATTAATGATTTTGAGGGTTTGAAAATTTATAAATTTCAGAATTTGTGATGTAAAAATTTGCGAACTTTGAAATTTCAGAATTTAGGTTTCCGGAAATTTGACAATATGGAGGTTTGATCATTAGGGAATTTGGGAATTCGAAAATTTAGAAATTCGAGAATTGAAAGATTTAACTGAATGTAAGGATTTGAAGTGTAGTTTGGGAATTCAGATTTCTGAAAGTTTAAGGATTTTTAAGTATGGATATTGGAAATTTGGAAATTAAGGTATATTGAGGCAGAGATTGAAGAATTTAAGGATGTGGCATACAGAAATTTTGGAATATGGAGATCCTGAGATTTAGGTCTTTGAAAATTGGCAGTGACAAGATTGGACATTGAAAAATTCAGAAATTCGGAAATTCGGAAATTCGGAAATTCGGAAATTCGGAAATTCGGAAACTCGGAAATTCGGAAACTCGGAAATTCGGAAACTCGGAAAGTCGGAAACTCAGAAACTCAGAAACTCAGAAACTCAGAAACTCAAAAACTCAAAAACTCAGAAATTCAGAAATTCAGAAATTTATAAATTCGCAAATTCACAAATTCACAAATTTGGGAATTAGATTATTTTTAAATTTAAAAGTCAGAAACTGTAAGAAATTGGAAATTTGGGGATCAGTAAAGGAAACTAAATTTAGAAACTTGACTTTATAAACTATAATGGTGTTATAATTATACTTTGTAGTGAATCTCGTTTATATTCTTACTACGATATTCAACTAAAACATGTACTTCGAAAATTATGAAGTCTGTTTCAAAAAACGATGTAATTATATGTTTTCTGCTTGTTATGATAGATTGTAGAAATAATGTACGAATAACTATTGATTCACTTTCGTAATACCAGCACAAGTAACCGCTCACTAATAATTAATATTATCGTTCTCCTATGAAAGTTACAGTTCTTGAAGCGTTTGATCATCCTGGTATTTCACCTGACATCACTGTCTCTGGCCGTCTACTTAAGACCCTCAAACCTCGATACGGTTCTCCTGAAGTGGCCAGAGGAAGTAACAGAAGTTGGTCGAACCATAGCTGAGTGTATCACCGTGCTAGGCGTCCTGAGTTATATTTTAGTGCAACTGGGCGGTGAAATCATCAACATCGGTGTTCTCTCGTTCCTGAAGCAGCTGGTAATTCTTAAAAATTTTTCGTTCGTAGTTCGTTTTCACAGAACTCTTATCTAGGTCATAAACAATAACCGTGTTCTACGATAGAAATTAATTTATTAATTTATTTTAGATTTTAAAAGATTTTCTAATTTTATTATTTCAATTTGAAATGATTTTATTGGTTTTACTAATTAAATCTAAAAAGATGTTATTAATTTTACTACTGAAATTCAGAAAGATGTTATTAATTGCATTATTTAAATTTAAAAGAAGTTTAACTTTGTCATTTAAATTTAAAGAAATTTTATTAATTTTATTGTTTAAATAAAATTTTATTGATTTTATTATTTCAATTCAAAAAGAGTTTATTACTTTTATTATCTGAAAGAAGGTTGTGCTAATCCTATTATTAATACATGTCAATTCTGTTTACCTTAACCCCTTAGACTGTACTCTGAAGAAGGTGCAAAAAAGTTTCTTTAAAATCCTTATAAAAATGTATAAAAAACTTAACTTCATATGTTACATCACACGAGAAATAGAACATGAAACCTTAAACTATCAATGTTAAAGGTATCCTTATTTTTAAATAAAAAATAAAAAATAAATAAGTAAATATCAAAGCATGAACCGTCAGATACAATCATTTTTTATCACAACAAACTCTGGCGGTAAAATACTGGAATAGCCTGTATGCATGTAAGTGACATTATATCCTCTTAAAATTTCCTTCCGAAAACTGCGGGTTGTGTTTAGTCGCAAACCTGGTATCTCCGCTGCCTCAGCAAGTCGAGGCCAATTTCGAATCTTTCGAATCGTGCATGGCCATCGAAGATTGAGCAAACTGGAGGCTAGTGAACTGTAACAGATAACGGGTACGTTGGAATTGAAGCTCTTTCTTCGTGGAAACGTTGTGCTTCTGTACACGAGCGATCGTTTCTTTCTTCTATGTTTTTTTTCCGGTCGTGAGCAGGGAATCGTAATTGCTCTTCAAGATTGTTCATACGGAGCGCAAGATTTTTGGTTATTCGATGCGCGCATATTGCACAATCTAAATACGACTTTGATGATGAAAGGAAAGGCATCCGAGTTAACGATCTTATTACGTGTAACGATGTTGTAGATTACGTAACTGGTATTGCAGCTGGAATAACTTGATATAAACATAGTAGATGCGGTACAGGAAGAGATACTTGATTTTCCAGCTGAAGAGACTATTTACTAAGATTACTTTATCTTAAACTTGTTATCCACTTTTTAATAAGTGTCCTTTTTCTTCGACTTCGTTTTGTGTAGAGATTTATTATTTAACCCCATCTACACCTAATTAAGCTACTTAAATTGTCATTATTTTACCGGAGAGATAAAAAAAGATCTACAACTTATACAACTTATAAATTTTTAGCTTTTCTGTATCTTTTAGAGTTGTTCAATACGAGGAAGCAGACGGGAAATATCTGAAAAGGTTCAATGAACTAGATGCTGTGTTTTCTCTATGTGCATCTACTAAAGTGAGCCGAGAAAGAATACTCTGCGACTATATTTAATAACGGGGAATTGTCACGGATTATCGACATAAAACTGATTAACTGGAAAGATACTAATCGTTATTTAAACCCCTGTCTTGCATATTCTAGAACTAACATAGTTTTTTAAGTTTGGTCATTTGTCTGATCTTAATCTAGAAAAAATTGCCATGTCATACTCGAGTAATAAAGTGCACGGTCATATTTGTCATCGAGGTATACCCTGTTGTTTACGGAACTGTCGGACGAAATGGGCGGATTCAGTGATAAAATCCAGAAAAACTATGTTGAAAAAATCTTATTTCAATTGTAAGTGATAGATAGGTTTATGTGCATTTGAGGACCACTTATTCTTAAATTGAGACTGTAGAAAAATAAATGAAAAGATGATACGTAAAGTAGTTTATACAATGATTTTTTACTTCAATTAAAGTTAATGTACATTCTTAGTAATTTCTATAATATGACATAAGAAAAAGATTCGTTTCTTTTATGGATTTCATAAATCTAATCATAAAAGGAAAATGTATTTTACGTCTTTGTGTTGTATATTAACAGCAAGATGGCTGAAAGAGCTTGGGTAAAAATACGAAGTGCAACAACCTTCAGTTGTTTTTTAATAACAGTCAGTAAATTTTAATAATAATTCCTTTGTTGTAATTTTGATTCTGGCTTTCTGTTGTTATGCAATGTATACGTATCTTATGATTCCTGTTTGCATTCTAATAACTTAAATAGAAATATGATTGCAATATTTGGTGTTTAATGACATTATTTACAATTGCAATATTTGGTGTTTAATGACATTACTTACAATTGCAATATTTGGTGTTTAATGACATTGCTTACAATTGCAATATTTGGTGCTTAACGATATTGCTTACGATTGCAAAATCAAGCTTGTTTATGATTCAAACAGACGTTGTTTTTATCACTTTTCTATTATTACTTGTGCTAGACATAAAAAAATGGTGATGTTAAAAGCAGTAAAATTAATTGATCAGAAATTGAACATGAATTCTCATAAAAAACAATCAAGTACATAGTCACCTTATTTCTTCGTAGTGAACAAAGGTGAAACGTGCTTAAACATAAATATTTTGTGAAAAAGTTTTGAATACTTCTTTTGTTCTCCTGTACGATGAGGTGGCATATGGAATAATGAGTATACTCCACGTTTCGTTCATATCTTCTGAGAAAATATTCAACCGTTTGCTTTGAATCAAAAGTGTACTGATCTTTGGATTTTTAGCACAATTTCTCTGTTAGAGAATCTTGCATCTTTATAAGAAACTATTTCGATATTCATTTGCGTATTTATTAACATCAGCATATTTGAAATAAACTAAATTATCCTGACAATGTAAACTACTACATAAAAATAAGATAAAACCAATAGTTTTTCATAGTCCACGTAGTATTTATAAAGTTGAATGAGAGAAAGAGAAGAGTTGGAACTGTGATAATTTTGTTCGTATTTGCAAGGCAATGTTAAATATTGCAATAACAATGTAAATATACTCTAAAGTTTAGAGATACCAATGAAACAAGTGAAATCGAAATAGGAATTTATCTCATCATTTCAGTCACTGACAGTTAAAAACTTTATCGATAATAATAAAGAATATATCAAGTTTACAGTGGAACTATATGTACAAATTTCGCTGACTGTACCTAAGAGGTATTACGTTATTACATACGAAATTACCTATTTCGAAAATAGAAAGTTAGAAGTCCCATAAAATAACACTTATGTCATATCAATTTGAAGCTTAAAATGGCCACATAAATGTTTTTAGTATAATCTTAAACACAAAATGGCTGACTGCCACTTATAGCAAACAATGACCGATTTCGGAACTTCTAAAATGCGAAACAATTTGACGACATAAAACTATTGTAAAGTAATACTAAATTTAAAGGTTAATGTTTACTGAAAATGACTTTACAAACCTTTCGCCAATATACTTAATATAAAATTGTTATACTAAATCTTGAGGTGCAAAATTGTTAAATACCGAACTTATTGAGTGTTGTACACAATAATTAAGACGATTTTCTGACTAAACAGATGAACAGTGTGCATAATCACTTTTTACAAATTTTAAACTTCAAATTAATGTATTATAATTATAATACTTTTGTGTCGTCAAAATTGTTAGCCCTTTGATGTTTCGAAGGCGGCCATTTCATATGCAACGTAATATTTCTACAATATTTTTACCGCCTGTTGCTTCATCCTCCCACAACCCCAAACAACAATAATAGAATACCTCTTATTTTCTCACCGAAGTAAATTATATCACAAAAAGTTAATACAAGGGAGAGAAAGATAGGATTCCAAAAAATGCAATATTGAAACTTCAACAGAAGGAACAAAAATTGAAATAAAACAGAAGACATTCAGAAAAATGTTATTTACAAGTAATTAAGAAAAAAACTTATATACAAAATTTTATTCTTTTAGTTTTAATTTCTTCTTCCAGTATTTTGTTTTCATACTTACCTGTCCTTCTCATGTTCGATAGTAAAATATCGTATGAAGTTATTTCAAGAAAATTGGGTGTGTTAATATGTTTTCGATCCACTGCATGATTGCGTATCATAGCATGGCGTGGAACGATTAAAACACAATGTCGCGTGAAAGACCGAGATTAAATTATGAAGTTCGTTGCCAATGCATTCCCTCTGCCATGGAATTTCATGGCATATCGATTTCTCTGCGGGAGACCGTAAACCGTACAAGTATATCTCTACATACCACCTCTGACGTTTCACCTGAACATATGCTTTTCAGAGTCACGAGCCCGCCAAACTGATATTTCTGATCAGCAACTTGCTCATACTGGCGTGCATTCCGTGTCGTCTTGCTGGAAACAGGCATGCGGAAGACGCAATCCTCGTCGTTGCTGTTCCTGGTTCCTGGTTCCTTTTGATGTTTTTTGCTGGGTAAGTAAATCTGCGCAATACCCTCGATCAATATTCTACCTCTACTTATTCACATAGTGGTTCATTAGCAACAGGTAACCTTAATTCTTTAGTTACTCCTGTGGCTCTTACGGCTTTGTTGGATAAAATACTGTTACTCAAACTGGTCAGATTTCACATCGGTTTCTAAACTGTGGCAGATCAGTGGTAATTCGTTCATCAATTTTGATAGTAACTTTATATCCCCGTTTTCGCTTTTATTCAGATAATACTGTTAATACAAAATCTTACATAGTCAAGACTTTTTGTATTTGTTACTTAAGTAGTTATTGACGTAACTACACGATAATTAATAAATATTTAATTATGGGATGGAGTTCATAGAAAAAGTGTTGTTCGAGAGGGAGTCCTCGAATTACACAAGTTTAAGAACTGTTCTATAAGGAATCTAACTTATACAATCTGTATTCTGAATAACATATTATTTTTCTAGTTGGTTTGATTTAATTTTCTTCGTTAACGCTAAAACGAATGTTTGATGGCTTTTAGGTTAAATATAAAGTATTGCAATAAAAAAATAAGAGGTGAAACATAAAATAATTTATGCAATTGAACTCTATCTCGATAGAAGTTTACATACATTTCCACGGAAACATCTTAATAACTTTTGTAATTTAACTCTGGATTTGAGGATGTTTAATGACCACTTATATTTAAATTTAAAATAAATAAATAAATAAATAATGGTTGATACATAAAGTAGCTTATACTTTATCTAGATGAAAGCTAACATACATTTTGACGAAAATTTCCTAATACTTTTTGTGATTTAAAATTAGAAATGTAAAATCCGCCATTTTTATGGGTTCCGTAAATCTAGTGCTAAAATGAAGAATGTGAAGCGAATTATTTTGAACTCTGAAATTTTTGAAATGCGCTAATTTATGAATTTAAAAATTAAAAACTGGAAATATCAAATTTCCATATTACCAAATATTCAGCTTTGAATATTTTAAATTTAGAAATTCGATAGCTAGGATATTTAGAGATATGTGAAAGTTTCGCGCCACTTGCACAACAGTGCAGTTGTCCATCACTAATCTATACAATGAATTATACATACAGAGCTTGTGTGTATGGTGTTTGTGAGTAATGTATAGCGCGAACCAACTGACACCGTTCGCGTCACTTTATTGTATCAATAAAGTGCATTCTAGCGTGCGACTGAAGGGTTAACACTTTAACGATCGCAGTAATTCTTGAAATTTCACGTTTCTTTTATTATTTAAAGAGACGAGGATTATATTTAAAACTTCCTGCGACAAATAATAACTATACAAATTGTACACTATTATTGTACAGAGTTTTTATCGCATGTAGTTTTATCTTATCTATTTTATTTCAATCTACTGAATATTTACATGAAGTATTATAAGGAAAAAGGAGTTAATCATACAACCAAGAGATTGAGATAGTAATGTTACGTTCCGCTATAATTTTTTATCATTTTCGTCGATTTAACTGTCAACTGAAATGCTTAACATTTTGTAAATTACCTTTTTCTGAAAACAGAAGAGGTTTTGACGTTATAGTTATATGTATTTTCTAAATTTTATTTTACTATATGTGTGTACTGTATTCCTCCGTTCTTTTAATTTACTTTGACTACCACATCGACCATATTAAAATTTGTATTATACACATGCACTTCTTTCCAAAACCGTTAATCACCCAAATATTAAATTGAATTATTTTAATCATAGATTGTTTATCATATGAAGTTTCATCTATTGTTAATAATACATCCATTTTTCTTTTTAATTGAGCTTGTCTCGCTTTCAAAATAAACGGTTCAATTAGCAGTACTGAATGAAATATAACTGTATCATGTATTCAAACAATGAACTGAAGATTGTTATTAACCTCTTTTTATGAGAATTGATACATCTCCCACAATATTGAACGTGTTAACGTTTTATTGTTTGATGATTACACCTACACACGGCATTTGCATGATAACGTTTAACGATCGAATATTCATGTGTGTCCGTTTCATTAACCAGGGCGTGTTTGTAAGTGAAAATTTATCTGATACGCAATTTCATTAATAGAATATGAATTATTAACGACGTTATAGCTTTTGTTAATAACACACTGGTTAATGAGCTAGTGGTGGCTTGAAATTCCGACGGTGCACCTTGTAAACTTACGATGGAAATATTCATGAAGAATGATAAAAATGTGCTCGATAAATTTTATGTACCTCGGACATGCAACATTCGTTTATCACATACCTATTACTCGAAATGTCACACTTAATGTTTTTACTGCTCGAACGTTATTGTACACTGTACTTGCGTTTGGACATCGAATAATGCTTCTGTCAGAAAATTTGTATAATTTAGATTTAGCGATGGACGTTCAAGTGCTATCTTTACGCCACGGGTAAGGTATTTGTTACAGGTAACTAAAAAAGAATTTTTGTATTTCGGATTTAAAAATAATAGGTTACATGCATGCTCTCGATAAAATTTCAAGGTTATATTCAAACTTTACAGCAGAAGAAAAATTATGTTATTTTGTATATTTTGTGGAATTACAATAAAATTGCAATGAAATTGAATTACAATAAAATTACTGTAAATTTTAATAATATTAAATATACATGCAATGGAAATACAATAGGATTATAATAAAATAGAATTGTTACAAAATTATAGTAGAATTACAATAAAATAAAAATGAAATAGAATTAAAGTAATAATTTAATAACCCAATATAATGGATATAAAAATTTGAAACCCAATAATTTTGAGCAAAATATGCTCTAGATTTGTAGACAAAAATTTAATAGACTAATACATTGAATATAAGAATTTGCAACCGAAAATAATTTTAATCAAAGTATGCTTTAGATTGGTATATAAAAATTTAATTTACTAATATGTTGAATTTACAAGCCAAAATTGTTTTAAACAAAGTACATTTTAGATTTGTAGACAAAAATTTCATGAACCAATATAATGAATATAAAAAGGAACACAAAATAAGTTTGACTATAGTATGCTTTTTCATGAAATAAAATAAGATCTTACACATACTATAATGTTTAAATTACCCACATTATAATATTTAAATGTTAGTAAAATTTTAACTCAACAGCAGATACTTTAAATTATATAATATGATTAGGTGTAATATTAAGCTAGATTATGGTTTTCAATGGCTTATCTATCCAGAATCTCAAACTCTAACAAAATTAGTACATAATCTTACAGTTATCGCGGTTTAGTTCATCACACATAATACTGTTACACTTAACACTGTTATAAACATAACAGCATTTTGTCTAACACCATTTGAAGTTTCTTGGTGTAAGCCATATCCGATAAGAAAATGTTTCCCAAGGTGGTTCGCCAACAATGTAGCGAGCTTTTCGATGGGATAGAAAATATATTGATATATGTATTCCAAAATGAAAGTACAAACGAAAATAGGGCGTAGTTACATGAAACAATAAATCAAAAATGTAGAATACAGTTTTTTATTATATGATTTTATTTCCGAGAAAATTGAATTTAAACATTTCAAATCAATAAATTGTTTGTTAATTTTGCAGTCAGTGAATAATATAAATGAGTAAATTTAATTTTTAATGTCACTAAAGTATGTTTGTTTTCATCAAACAAATTGATTTTCATCAAAATCATTCTCTAAATTTTAAAATCATTCTCATTACACGATGTATTAGTACCTATACTAATAATCAATTATAAAGAATGATTGATAAAAGATTTTAGTAGTATTAATGTCTAGATTCATTTATTTTATAGTATTCATTAATCTTTATATTAATGCAAAAATTGTCTTTGTCACTTATTGTATTGTGATCAAATTGTTTTACAAATACTGCAAAATTATTCAAATTCAGTTTTTCCGAAAACCAAACCGCATGTATACAAATTCTATTTCGTGTGTTTGGTTATTTTTTTCCACACTAATTAACCCTTTTTGTTCTATCATTAGGCCCGAAACATATACGTCTATTGGAAATTACACTGTTTTCAAAATACTTCTGTTTATCTTTCAGAATACTAGGCAGAAAAGTATTTTTATACATCAGTGATTTTCCTAAGGTATCTAATTGATTATCTGATTAATATAGCTAATTAGGAACAAATTTTATTGCTGACGAAATACTAGACACAGAATAGCGGTTTACAAACAAAAACAGTGATCGCTAATGTCAAAAAACGAAGCAAAATATAACAGGGTTAATTGTAAGAAGCTATAACAAAATTATTATACTACTTGAAAAGAATATTTAATAATTCAATACATAGTATGTATCAATCTTTTATTGATCATTTATTAACCCTTCGTCGCATAACGTTATCATTGTTAAAAACAAATGCATTTTGTAATTTTCACAAGTAATACAAATAAGAAAATAACGATAAACATATATTTTATACTAAGAAAATTTATTAAATATGAATGATATGACATTGCAAAATTACAACATTCTTAAATGCCATAATAATTTAATATTTTGTTGATAACCAATATCAACATTTTTAATGTAAGTAAACAAAGATATACATTAGTCCTAAAGAAATAAACTGTAATCTTTAAAAGATATCGATAAAGCGATAACACTAACATGATGATAACAAAAGAAACATGAATAATTAAACACTGTTATATATAATTAAGATAAGTAAATGGATATGTATGTATTTAATTCGTTTCTTTGATGTAATTTATATTAATGTAATTTGTATTCATTTATCATCATTAACATTGAAAATTGTTTACGTCATTTGAAATTTTGAAAAACATACATATTTTTAATGTTATAACATACGATATTTCAATGCAGTGCATATAACAGTATATATTTAACTATAAATTATATGAGCTGCCATGGTAACTGCATACACAAATAGATATTGTTATTTATTAATGCTAATGCTATTAGGAATATCAAATTTAATAAGGAAATACATTTCAAATTATAA